TTTGACTTTTATGATTAAATTTTATTGAAAGTTCATCACAAACTCATCAAGGAAGGAAAGCAATGCACTGAGAGGGAGCCATTGAAAATGGCATTTTGGGGATGAGAAAACACCTCTTATCAACAGGGTGCCTGAATGAAACGTAATTGTACACCTAACCCTTAAACTGTACCCCACAAAACCATAATAAAAAATATTGATTAATTAAAAAAAAAGAAAATGACATTTTATAATTTATAAAGATATGAAGACGAGCTTCTAATTTGTAATCCTCCCCCTAAAAAAGCGCAACTGAATTCCATCTCCTCCTCATGGCTCCTTCCTCCATTTAATATGTCATGTTTCTCCACTGAGGAATAACACATCCTCCTAGTTTAACTTCAGAACATAGGAATGAAAATGGAATAAAAGAAGTGAACAACGCACACCATCCTCTCTGAAACGGTGAGAACTTCGTCTCCAAAAAAAAAAAAGCAGACAGAAGTCCTTGACCTTTGGGAAAAAGAGATTGAGGAAGATGGCACCGGTTCATGCCCTTAGAAGGCAGAACAAGCCTCCCACCATTGGAAACAGCTTGTTCCCTGCCATACCTGGTCCTCAGATCACACTTGGGTGCCCAGGATCCTGTGCTTAATCTCCCTTAACTGGACCATCAATGCTTGGGAACGAGCGGGTCAGTCATTTAAAGAAGTAATTGGCTGCACAAATCAGCTCATCCCTACGAGGGCTGACTTTTCTCATACTTTCTGGTTCTGTAATAGGCCAGGGGGTCAGTGAAGACAGAGCCTGCTCTTTCCCTGCTGTCCAAGGCACTCAAATAAAGCATGCTTGGGCCATTTGACTGGGAGTGAGGCTTTGGGTGGCAATGCTAGCGCCCCTGAGAGTGTCAATACCCAAAGTGGGTGCCTATCTGATGGCATAAGGAATAAAGAAGCAGCTCTGGGGGCAGGTTGGGTGAATACCTGGCTTTCAGTCCAGCCCCTCCCTGTGCTATGTGGGTAAGTCTGTTTCTCTTTCTCGGGCTGCTGTGTTCTTGTTGGTTAAAATGGGGTGTTGGCTAAATCATTTCTACTAATCTGTGACAGTTTTTTGCTTTTTAAGATTATATAAATTATACAATCTCTGTGGATGAAAAGCAATTGAACAGCAGATTCCAGGAATTGCTTGGAGGTGAAATAGGTCAAAGACCTAGAAGCTCTCGTTAATGGAAATAAGAACACTCCAAGGACAGGTCAAGAGGTCACCTGGAAATGGCACCACCATCCAGTGGAAACCCCCTGCCTATCCCAGATCCCTGAAACAGAGAACTTGGAAGGAGCAATTTAGAGTTGCGTATCTGCAACACAGCAGAAGAAGAGACATGCAGTCTGGGAATATCCAGGACACAGGGAGGATTTTCTTCCTACAGTGGAAAAGGGTAGATCTCTTTTGCTCACCCCAAATCACTTATGAAAAGTTTTTGGTTCGCTTCCTCATGCCCTGGGTCACTAAGCAAGCTTCTTCACTTTTGTTTGGCTTCTCATTTATATATATAGAATCCAGAATGAACTCCTTTGACATGAGGACATAAGCGCGCGTGCTCTTTCTCTCTTTCTGTGTGTGTGTGTGTGTGTGTGTGTGTACTTTTTTTTTTTTGAGTCAGGGTCTCACTCTGTCACCCAGGCTGGAGTGCAGTGGCTTGATCACGGCCCAACACAGCCTCGACTTCCTGGGCTCAGGTGATTCTTCTGCCTTAGCCTCCCACGTAGCTGGGTCTACAGGGATGTGCACCACGCCCGGTTAATATTTTTTATTTTTGTAGAGCAAGGTCTTGTTATGTTGCCTAGGCTGGTCTCAAAATTCTGGGCTTAAGCAATCTTCCTGCCTTGCCTTCCCAAAGTGCTGGGATTACAGGCATGAGCCACCATGCCTGGCTTCCACTGTATCAGCTTTCTGGTCCCTATCTTGGTTTTGTATGAATTTCCTTGAAATGAATTATGGCATTAGAGAATGTGATCACTCAGTCATTTAATCAAGGTTCTGGTCTTGCAAAACAAATCCCAGAATTCCTCAGTGGAAGAAAGAGATGCTGTTTTTAATGACTGAGGGCAAATATAATGGCTTCCGTCAGTTTGACCTTGCAGGGAAGTAGGAACCGCATTCCTCTTAAGATTGGTTGCCTCTTTCCTTTTCCTCCCATTCTTCCCTGCACCCTCATCCAATGAAGGAAGTGCATTACTCTTGACGTGTGTATAATGTCATGTATATTTTTTCCATCTTTGCTTTACCCTTTAAATCTCCATCAGCCAAGTCTGTGCTGTTCCTAACCATTCACTCGCCTCTCAGTGACAGGAGAAAAAAAACAGTTCCAATCAACAAATGCTTGTTGGAAGAATGAATCAACATTGGCTTACAAACTGCAGGAGGGCAGGGCTTTGGGTAAGGCATGGCGACAGGGCGTAATTAAAGATTAGAAGAAGATCAGGATATTTGGTAATGTAGCGGTCCCCAACCTTTTTGTCATCAGGGACCGGTTTTGTGGAATACGATTTTTCCATAGACCAGGAGTGGAGGGGGTGAAGCTGGGGGTGGAGGGGATGTACAGTCAAACCTCACTGCTAATGTTAATCTGTATTTGCAGCCGCTCCCAGCACTAGCATCGCCACCTCAGATCAGGCATTAGACTCTCATAAGGAGTGTGCCACCTAGATTCCGCACCTGTGCAGTTCACAATAGGGTTCGAGCTCCTCTGAGAATCTAATGCCACCACTGATCTGACAGAATGCAGAGCTCAGGTGGCAACGCGAGCCACAGGAGTGGCTGTAAGTACAGATGAAGCTTCATTCACTCAGGCACCGCTCACCTCCTGCTGTGTGACCAGGTTCCCAACAGGCCATGGGGGTTGGTAATGCATGTCTACACTAGTGAGGCTGGTGTGCATGCAGAGCCAGGAAAAGAGATAGGTGGGTGTAAGTTCAAGGTTGTGCACGGGGTCTGTCTGAATGTGCATGTGTGTGTCCTGGTGTGGCCTGAGGGCCCTTTTCCTATCACTTCAGCAACATTTTCCCTTATCATCTGTTTCGCCTCTGTCTTCTGTCCTTATTCACCGTAAGCACCTTTCTTTCTCTGACTCTAGTCCTGAAACAAAAATGCCAGAGGCGGGAAGGATGGAGGGGAGGCTCAGACCTGAATCTGTAAACCTCAGACCTGCCACACCTCAGTGATCACAGGCCTGCGTGGAAACGGAACAACTTGTGCTGGGGGCTGTCCTGGGTGGTCCTTGTCACGTGAAAGCGATCAGGCGCTGTCTTTCACTGCCAACCATCTCCCTGTACTCATTCCTTTCCCTTTTGCTTGAGCCTGTTGGAGGAATGACGGGATATAAATCCTAAAGAATAAGGAGGTAGAGGGGCCGCTCTCATCTTATCTTGGCATCCTCTGTATCTAACCACTTTCTCTCCTCACCAAGACATCCCGACACATTATGTAACCGCACCCCACCCTTTCTGCACTGAAACATTTTTCATAATACTTGTCAGCATCGTCACTTCCACGATCACTGCCATCATCACCAGAGAGATTGTTTGATTTTACCATGTGGATCCCAACGACATGTTGATGTTTTATTTACACATGCAGAGTTTTAATCCGAATTATATCTGCCTTGATAAACTCTCATTGAGAATGTGTTTTCCAAAGAGAGTTCCTTTAAGCCAATTTAATTTTTGAGCAATCTTTTTAAATGCAGAGCAGTTAAACTGTTTCCATTTTTTCTCATTTCTGATTTAATGCTATTGAAGCTTTTCATTGTGATACATCATTTTATAAGTAAAATAGGCATTAACTATTTGACTAGCTGATCACTTTTTAGTGCATATCAAAAACGTACTGGTGCCTACTGGTGGCCACCCAGCAGGTCAAGGCTGCGGTGGCCAGGAGTGTGCCACTGCACTCCAGCCTGGGCAACAGAGTGAGACCAACTCAAAAAAAAAAAAAAAGAAGCCGGGCTCAGTGGCTCAGCCTGTAATCCCGCGCCTTTGGGAGGCTGAGGTGAGTGGATGGCATGAGCCCGTGGGTTCGAGACCCGCCTGGGCAACGAGACCTCATCTCTACAATAAATCAAAAAATCAGCCGGGCGTGGTAGTGCATGTCTGTAGTTCCGGCTACTCGGAAGGCTGAGGCGGAAGGATCGCCGGAGCCCAGCAGGTCGAGGCTGCGGTGGCCGGGAGCGGCCACTGCACTCCAGTCTGGGTGACAGAGTGAGACTCCAACCAAAAAAACAAAAAAAACAAAAAAACACGTACTGGTTATAGCCACCAACAAGCACTTTATTGTGTCGCTTTACAATCCTTCCAAATCTAATTTTTCCTAGATCAAAGTTTGCAGATACGAATTTTGTGAAGAAGCTGCAATCGTCTGCCAGATTGTAAATAAATCATGAATTTTACTTAGAGCAGTTTTAGCCCCTATCGGTTTTATCCTGTAATGAATGTTTGTAAACCTCATCAGAGTGAAGATGGCTGCCACATAATAGCGAGGCCACTTTATTAATCGCTTTGTATATGCGGACCTCAAGTAAACGTTATCTCATTTAATGGTGAGGGATGGGCATTATTATCTCCATTTTGTAGATAAGTGAACTGAGGCTAAGAGGCATGAGATCACTTGCCCAAATGTTATATAGCGACCACACAGTGGACCTGGGACTTGAAAGCCAAGCCTTTGGGTGTTAAAAACTCTTTGTGTTTCTTGTTGTTTATTTTTTGTCAACTATTCTGTCTTCTTCTTGTGTTTCTTGCTTCATTCATAAATATATTGTGCTCGCTGGCTGTATACTCATCTCATAACACATTTTGCCTTGCCTCCTGTTCTGTCTCTCTCTCTCTGTAGCGTGTGCGTGCATACACACACACACACACACACACACACACACACACACACACACACACACTCCTTGTGCTTCTAACAACACACACCACACAGTCACTGTACTGCAGGCCTCATCCCAGGAGCAGCATGACTTCCCCTCTCCTGGATCCCTGGTAGGTAAGCCCCACCATGGCCAGGGAACCCCTGGGCAGGAGCTCCTCTTGCCAGCATTTTAGCTGGGCCCGCCCAGGTTCACCTCCATGTGTGCCTTGGAGTTCCAGGTGGGAAACCTGAATGAGGTGGCCACGTGCTGTGTGGATGGATGCATTGTGTCCCTCCCAGGGCAGGGGAGAAGGCTGCTGCCTCAGAGCCCACGCCCCAGGCCCCACAGGGGCTTAGATCGCTGGCTAGGGAGTGCATGTGTGTTGTTTTCTTTAGTCAGGAAGAGCTTGTTGTTTTTTTTTCCCGTGGAGTACATTCAGACAGTTTCCTTTTTTACAACAAATTACAGGGGGGTGGGAAGGGAAGGAAATGGAGGGAGAAGGAGGGAGGGAGAGGGGTTTCTATTTTTAAATGCTTGCGAGGCATTATCTCAGTGGAAGTTTCTGTGAGGAAGGAAGGAAGAGGGAAGTGATTGATTGAGGGTTAGCTGGTGGGAGGGGTTAAGTCTAAGCTAGCGATTTTCTTTCTTTTTTTTGAGTTGGAGTCTCACTCTATTGCCCAGACTGGAGTGCAGTGGCTGTTCCCGGCCACAGCAGCCTCGACCCGCTGGGCTCCGCGATCCTTCCGCCTCAGCCTTCCAAGTAGCCGGAACTACAGGCGCGCTCTACCATGCCCGGCTAATTTTTGACTTGTAGACATGAGGTCTCGCCAAGTTGCCCAGGCGGGTCTCGAACCCGCGGGCTCAGGCAATCCACTCACCTCAGCCTCCCAAAGCGCAGGATTACAGGCTGAGCCACCGAGCCCGGCTAGAAGCGGCTACTTTTTTAAGGCTTGGACCAAGAAACCAGCACATCATTTCTACTGCAGTCCATGGGCCAAAGCAGTCACGAAGCCCACCGAGACTCAAGGGCAGGGAACATGGGCCCCACCTCTTGATGGGAGAGTGTCAAAGAATTTGTAGGCATCTTTAATCACCTCTAGCAAACACAAGAGATGGAAAGGCAGCCAGTCAATTTCTGAAAGAACAAGACATTGACCTTCCATATGACCCAGCAATCCCCCTACTGAGAATATACTTGGAGAAAACCAAATCATTCTACAAAAAAGATATCTGCACACTCATGTTTATTGCAGCACTATTCACAATAGCAAAAACATGGAACCAACCATGCTGCCCATCAAAACTGGACTGGGAAAAAATGTGGTACATGTACACAATAGAATATCACACAGTCATAAAAAAAAAGACAAACATATGGGGTTGGCAGCAACTTGGATGGATTAAGAGTCTATCATACTCAGTGATCTATCACAGAAACAAAGAATAGAGCACCACATTGTTCTCATTCATAAGCAGACCCTGAACATTTACCATAATACTATAAGAAAGGGATTGGCAGTAGCGGGATACTACCAGGGTAGGTGGGTGGGAGGGCATAACATCAGTAAGGGTACCTGATCTCAAACCAGGCAAAGCGGGGATCAAAGGGAGGCCCAAACTTTACCTGTACCATGTCCATTTGTATGCCTAATCCTGAATTGTACCCCACACCTTTAAAATAAAATATTTTTAATGAAAATATTAAAAGTCAAAAACAAAAAAAGAAAGGTGGCCGGTGTGGCTAGAGTGCAGAGAAAGACAGGCACTGTAAGAAGAGGCTGGAGAGAGGGAAAGCCCAGACCTTGGAGGCCACAACAAACCCAGGCAGAGCCTCCACATCTACTTGTATAGTTTGCAAACAGTACTATTCCGGGGGAACCATCCCTGTTATAGGCTACGTGAGAGGGGCCCCTGGAGTTACACAGTGTACAACCCGTGTGGCCACACTGACTGCAGAAACTGTGGGAGACCACTGAAAGATTTTACTCATAGATTCTCAGAGCTTCTCCGTTCCATAATGATGATACACAGGCAGCTTGCAAATTAAATAATAGTTGGTTTAAAGTTTAGAGTGTGGATCTTTGCAACTGGGTAGCTTTACCTGGACACGTTTGCTTGCTCTTAAAAGCAAATTTGTCTCTTCCCCTTCCCCACCTCGACTCCAGGCACTCTGGGCAAAGTGCTTGGTCTGGTCTGAGCCACCCTGTCTGGCTAATGGCAAAGGCGTCTTGCCCTGACTAGTCTGTGCCAAGGCCTTTCCTGTTTGCCCTCATTTGTCTATCAGACAGGCCATTTCATAACCACTCTGGACTCCACCTTGACTCTGGCCCTAACCAGATTCTTCCTGCCAGCCTTGCCTTTTGGGCTCAGTGATTACATTTGCTGTTCTCGCCTGACTCCAGCCTGGCTCAGCTTTGGCCTGGTGCCCTCCTGACCGAGCTGCTGAGGTTTGCCCACACCTCCAAACCCGGCCTGTGATGGGGACTTAGAGTTCGGTTACCAATGAGTTCAGGTGGTTGCATAATTTGGACATTTTCACTATAGTACAAAGCTGCACTATATGAATATGCCAAATGTGTGTTATCCACTCTACAGTTGACGACGATTTGGAGAGCTTCTAGTTTGGGGCTGCTATGAACGTTCTTTTACACATTTTGATAAGAAATGTGAGCCGGACTCAGTGGCTCAACCTGTAATCCCGCGCTTTGGGAGGCTGAGGTGAGCGGATGGCCTGAGCCCGCGGGTTCGA